CCTATATTGTATTTTAACGCGTTGGAGTGGGTTACCAGCATCTCTCGCTGAACAGATATATTTGGCTTTTAGGCACAGAGGAGTAGGTACTGGAGCGCGCTAGAGACTTGGAGCGTAGAGTAGATAGGTTCCCTTTCGGCCTGCGTGCCATGCTTATGTATTTACATTATTGAGGATATTAGTTAGTTAGCCTATGCACCTGAGTTCTCTAACTCAGGTGTGGCATAGCACCCCGTACTCTTTTATATTATGTTTTGGGATTTAATGGGAATCTACCTTTATTATATAAGTCTTAAAAATTTCGGGGTGTTACAGTTGGTATTAGAGCCTAAGTTTGACCCTAGGATAAGACTCTTAAGACCAGACTTTAGGACATTAGACTTGAACTCTAGGTATTTAAGAACATAGGATTCAGGAGTCTTAGGACGCGTGGTGAGATTATGAGCCTTCCTATCATCACATAACGTCCCCTCACTTCATCCCTCATTAATTTAAACAATTTCCCCCTTCGCTTATCACATCAAGGTAAGGGTACAACACACTAACTCTTCATTCCAGATACCTGCCCTAGAAATTCGTGATGCCATTGCATGCTTTTACCTGCTTTGTTGCTTATCACTCTTTGATCATCATACTTGTTTATTTGCTTAAACGTATGTTCCTAATTGATTTTAGACCAAGTTAGGAACTGCATATTATTGCTTAGACTATTTGATCAAACATACGTTATTAGGATATCTATTAATTAATAAAGTATTTTGGAACTTGTAATTGGTAATTTTATTCGACATATAATAGCTCACTCTCCCTAATCATAATTGACCAAATACCCTGATAATTAACCTACTAAAAGACTTGATAAGTACTTGCATAAGTTTGCATGGAGGAAAATTGTGGGGGCGTAGCTTTAGTTAAGAAAGGGGATAAGGGGGTGTGGGATCCTTATGATATCTCATTGAACGTCTCCCGTGTCCCTTGTTAGTATCATTATAATGTGATTTCCTAAGATTTTCCATGCATATCCCTTTTATTGTTCATATGAGCGTGAAACTGTTTGGACTTAAATCTGTGCATTCTTGGGACTTTCTCGAAGTGATTCCTTCTTCACAATCACGTTCCATTGGGGCCTCGGCAGGAGGTCGACCACCCACCACGAGCCCACTGGCACGTTCCAATGGGGACTTGACAGGCGGTCGACCGCCCACCTCGCACCCACTGGTACGGTATATTTTCTTGACTTCTCATTTTATTGATCCATTGTGCATTTGTATGTCCCCCTTGATACTTCTTATGTGTTTAACATGTAAATAACAATATAATGCTTGAACATAAAAGTCAAATTATCTTCCTAAATGATTTGTTTATAATTTACATAGAAATTATAGAGACTAATTCTACTTCTAGAAATCTAAATCCTCGGGTGCATTACGTATTAAGTTTCGACCCGAAAGATATTATGATTGAGACCGGGAAAAACCCGGAGAACCTAAACCAAGTGGTCATCTAGAAATTATCCTTGGAAAAATTATATTTCATCCCCAAACTATCTTAAAACTATCCCTCTAGACTTTGGTCCATGTTGCATAATAGACCGCAAGCTTCCGATGCCTTGTTTAGAACCCTTGACCACTATGATAAGGACCCCCTAAACAAACATTTACACATAAATAGGTATATCACTACTATCCTGAATATGTTCCCCTAAAGACTCTATTATATATATATATATATATATATATATGGTTGAGTTCAAATGAGGACAACAATATATAGAGGACTGTGAGGACAAATAATGGGCACACAACAAATTAACACCAGGCACACAACTTAATACATAATGGCACACAAGAATAAATGTAAACATCAGGTTTCGAACACAGGCTCTATAAATTAACAAATCTAGCACGCGACATACAAACTGTGGCACACGACTACATTCGGTCATGCACACGACATACCGACTAATGGCACACACTACATCTGTCCTCACAGTCCTCTATAATATACTTGTCCTCATTTGAATACACATCTATATATATATATATATATATATATATATATATATATATACATATATATATATATACATATATATATATATATATATATATATATACACGTTCCTAAAGTATGTAGTTGTTGAGCTGTCGTAGGCTCCCAAATTAAAACCTTAGAAACGTAGTAGCGGGAGTAAGGATCTATCCCACGAGGAGTAACTAGTTTAACTTTTGTGCTCAAGAAAATAATGGGGGGTTTGGAAAATAACGAGAATAAAGATTAAGTAAAAGATAATTTAAATGAACAAGAGATTAAATAAATCGAACAGAGCAATGAAACTAATATATTGAAAGCACTTATAATAGAAAACCTTGGTTAGTAAAGATCCACCACCGGAATTTAACACTGATCATTAATTAGTAAAGTAATTAATATGCAACTGAATATTTGTCGTGAAATTATTTCATTTCCGTTTTCCCTTAGTTATAGGTAACTAAAGCACACACGGTTTAATTACCCCTAACTACTAAATAACCTAAGACAAGCGCTATAGATTTAATTTAATAGCAGCAATAGGAACTAGGAAAACCGACAAATTAAACTAAATAACACAAGCACAAGCGGTTGCATTTAACTTAGGAAAATATTCTACCCGAGTCCAATTATCACTAAGCCGTCAATAATTAACCCAGTTGCTACTGAATATTAGAATAATTTGTAGCACAACATTATCTAATATAGCAAATAATTATATCAAGTAAATAACTAGTAGGCCTCCCTAGCAATTAAATGATACAACTATTCAAATAACTTAGAAGAATATTTAATACCCAAATGCATAAAAATTATATAATAAAAATAAATAAATAATCATACAGCATAATCAATTCTGGGGCTTCAATTCACTAAACCAAGCTAAAGAAATTAGCAATGAATGGACATTGATAACAGCTTTACAGAATAATCGAGAGAGGAAGAATGAACATTTTACAATAGGAAACTCCTACTATTTATAGCATTCTAAAAATAAACCTAAACTATTTCCTACCATTCATTTCCTAATTTTCCTCCGCACGTCCGAAGCTTTCCATGAGAATCGCTCCGCCATTTCCTCTGACCAACGAATTGAAACAAAGTCATATGATATATTATTATTATTTTTTGTTTGTCTAATTGCAATTATGGGACCCACAAACTTAATATATATTAAGGTTCATAATATGTATATATATATATATATATATATATATATATATATATATATATATATATATATAAATATATAAAAGATTATAGTACGTAATAAATATATATATTACTATTCTATATATTATATATTATATATATTATATATTATATTAAACATTATATATAAAAAGAACTAATTATTAGATAATATTAAATAACTAATGCAAAATTATTATAAAGATGTACCTAAAATATGAGGGTAAAATATGCCTATCAAATTCCCCCACACTAAAACATTTGCTTGTCCCCAAGCAAAAATATTATTCGCGAAGTAAATTAAAATGAAATTCCAAAAATTCATAACATATCATGAACAATAATCTGAAGCACCATGCAATTAATAAGTTAGCACCCCTGTCTGAAAATTGATAGAGCTAAATAAGTAAGCCCTCACAGGAATATCACTCATCACTCAAGTGTTTGATGGGTATAAATTTCACTCAAGTTCATTCCTATAAAATTGCTCTACCATAGGCTTGCATATCTTCTCAATTACCACTACAAGATTCATGCATGACACAAATCATAAGGACTTTTCACAGGTTGTAATGGGGCTAGGTTTAAGGTAGGGAACATTTTTGGAAAGTAGCTTAAGTAAAAGCTTTCAAACTAGAGGAGCAAAATAAATACAATTAATCCAACACCCTCAATTTTTCATTCAAAGCATTTCCCATTGACACTTCAACTATCATTCCAGAAAATAAAGACTTCCTCAATATTCCCTTGCATAATTTATTTGGACATAACTTCAACTCAAAATTGCTGATTGTTTCTCATTTTTCCCATAAATTTTCAGCAACATCTTTTTTTTTTTTTTTCGAGCATATATTCTCCATTTTTTTTCATTTCATTCTTTCAAATTTCCATACTTTTTTTTTGAATCATGAACTGTCTTTGTTTTCTTTTTCATAGAAGACGAACGACAAATTGGCAATGAAGATACAACCCGCCTCACTCTCAATCATATTAACAAAAGTAAGTGATCCCCCCCCCCCCCCACACACTTATTCTTCACAAATTCATGTAGATTTCAAGCATAATCCAAAATTTGCTCCACTAGTTATTCAGCTGGGTGAAGGTATTATTTTTAGGTATAAAAGGCTTGTAATGTGGTTCAAAATAAAGAAAAGAATAGCCATAAAGCTCAAAGTGGTTAACAAAGGGAAATAAATCATAGGACAAACCGGTTATTTGGCTAGTGAGGCTCAAGATCAAATAATGGCCTTAATCACACTTGAATCATGCATGGTCTAATTAGCTTTAAAAGAGAATCAAGGCAAGTTCTAGAGAAACAAAATTATGGAAGAAATCGCAAAATAGAAAGAAAATAAGACCGAAGTGTCAGTCAATGGCTCAAAACACTCACAGGTTTATTGCTTACTTAATATAGCCATTACATATCAAACGGGAAATGCTAACAAACTAATCACAATTTGCCAAATTATTTATTCAATCATGTTATGAATTCCAAGAAAGGAAAAATAAAATAATTTTTGAAAAAAAATAATTTATTCAATCATGTTAGAATAATTTTTGAAAATAATACTTATTTTGCATAAAATACTAGTAAAATATTTGTGAAAATTTTGACATAAGCAAACAAATAATAATAAATCTAAATCCCCTCCCCCACACTTATTATCAACATTGTCCCCAATGTTGAATAAAAAAAGCACAGAAAAAGGATATTAAATGTAACAAAAAGAAAATAATAATAATAATAATAAAACGAACTCCCCTTCTAGTTGTTCATATTATTCAAAATAGCTGGGATCTTCAAGAAGTATGTCAGCAATATATTCAACTTGAGCCCCTTCATGGTAAGGTTTAAGCCGATGGCCATTAACCTTGAATATCTTTGAAGTCTGTAAACTTTGAATCTCTATCGCCCCATGAGGAAAAATATTAGTGATAATAAATGGACCAACCCAACGAGAACGTAACTTACCTGGGAATAGCCGAAGACGTGACTGGAATAGGAGGACTTTTTGTCCAATTGAAAATTCCTTTCTCAAAAGCATCTTGTCATGGAATGCTTTTGTCTTTTCTTTGTAGATTCTTGAATTCTCGTAGGCCTCATTGCGAATCTCCTCCAACTCAGAAAGTTGCAACTTCCGGTGTAGGCCACTTTCATCAATGTTCATATTAAAGCTCTTGACAGCCCAATAGGCTCTGTGCTCCAACTCAACGGGAAGGTGACAAGCTTTCCCAAACACAATGTGATAAGGGGACATACCAATAGGTGTTTTGTATGCGGTTCTATACGCCCACAATGCATCATCTAATCGCAAACTCCAATCCTTTATGTTTGGGTTGACTGTTTTCTCAAGGATTGACTTCACCTCTCGGTTGGACACCTCTGCCTGCCCATTAGTCTGTGGGTGGTAGGCAGTTGACACCTTATGGGTGACATGGTACTTCTTAAGCAATGCTTCGATGGTGCGATTACAAAAGTGAGTAACCTGATCACTTATTATAGCTCTTGGAATGCCAAACCTGGAAAAGATGTTAGATTTGATAAAATCTGCAACAGCTTTAGAGTCATCAGTCCTGGTAGCTCTAGCTTCTACACACTTCGAAACATAATCAACAGCAAGTAAAATATAGACAAAACCAAAAGAGGCAGGAAATGGGCCCATAAAATCAATACCCCAAACATCAAAGACCTCACAAAATAGGATCAGAGTTTGTGGCATTTCATTTCTCCGGGATAAATTACCTGACTTTTGGCAAGCATCACAACACTTGCAAAATGAGTATGAATCTTTAAATAAAGTTGGCCAATAAAACCCAGACTCCAACACTTTCCTTGCTGTTCTCTTAGCACCGAAGTGGCCGCCACAAGCATAAGAATGACAAAAGGTAAGGATTGAGGCAATTTCGCTATCAGGTACACACCGCCTTACCACTTGGTCAGCACAATGTTTCCAGAGGTACGGTTCATCCCATACATAGTACTTGGCGGTACTCCTGATTTTATCTTTTTGGGCTTTAGACGAATTATGAGGAAACTTGTTGGCAACCAAAAAGTTGACTACGTTAGCATACCAAGGTAAAACCACAGTCGCAGCCAATAAGTGCTCATCAGGGAATGCTTCTTGCAGCGGAGGTTCAGGTTCAATGTGTACCAACCGACTCAAATGATCGGCCACAAGATTCTCTGACCCCTTCTTATTTTTGATCTCCACATCAAACTCACTTAAGAGGAGTATCCATCTTATCAATCTTGGTTTGGCTTCCTGCTTTTTCATCAAGTAGCGAAGAGCTGCATGGTCAGAATAAACGATAACTTTGGTGCCCAGCAAATATGACCTAAATTTTTCTAAAGCAAAAACAATGGCTAAAAGTTCTTTTTCTGTAGTAGAATAGTTTTTCTGAGCATCATTTAAAGTCCTAGAAGCATAATAAATAACATGGGACGATTTCCCGATCTTTTGGCCCAACACAGCCCCTACTGCGTGATCACTTGCATCACACATAATCTCAAACGGGTAGTTCCAGTTAGGTGGCTGAATGATCGGCGCAGATGTCAACAACTCCTTCAATTCGTCAAATGCTCCCTTACACTTTTTGTCAAACTCAAAGGATGTCTCTTTCTGCAACAATTTGCATAAAGGTAGTGCTATTTTCGAGAAGTCTTTGATAAACCTTCGGTAAAAACCTGCATGTCCAAGAAAAGAGCGGACTTCCCGCACATTAGTAGGATACGGCAGAGACTCTATAATATCAACTTTGGCTTTATCAACCTCAATCCCACTAGATGAAATAACATGCCCCAAAACATTACCTTGATTAACCATAAAATGACATTTTTCATAATTTAACACAAGATTACTCTCTATGCATCTTTTCAAAATAAGTGAAAGGTTATGTAAGCAGGAGTCAAAAGAGTCGCCATAAACTGTAAAATCATCCATGAAAACTTCAATCATATGCCCAACATAATCAGAAAATATGCTAACCATACACCTCTGAAAGGTACCCGGGGCATTACAGAGGCCAAACGGCATGCGTCGATATGCAAAAGTGCCGAAGGGACATGTAAAAGTCGTCTTTTCCTGGTCTTCCGGAGCGATTGGAATCTGGAAATAACCTGAATAACCATCAAGAAAACAAAAATAAGAGCGACCGGCCAACCTTTCTAGCATTTGGTCAATAAACGATAAAGGGAAGTGATCTTTTCTTGTAACAGCATTCAACTTCCTATAGTCTATACAAACTCGCCACCCATTTTGAATACGAGTGGGGACAAGTTCATTATTTTGATTTCTGACAACTGTAATCCCTGTTTTCTTAGGAACCACTTGAGTTGGGCTAACCCATTTGCTGTCTGAAATAGGATAGATTATCCCAGCTCCAAGGAGTTTGAGGACCTCTTCCTTGACTACTTCCATCATGAGCGGGTTTAGCCTTCTTTGTGGTTGACGAGATGGTTTTGCTCCTTCCTCTAGAAGAATTCGGTGCATGCAAATGGATGGACTTATCCCTTTGATATCTGCAATTGTCCACCCAATGGCAGTTTTGTCTTCTTTTAGCACTTGGACAAGTTTTTCCTCTTCTATTGCAGAGAGTTTAGTTGAAATTATGACTGGCAATGTTTTATTTTCTCCTAAGAAAGCATATTTAAGATGGTTGGGAAGAGGCTTCAACTCAGGGATAGGTGCCTGCACGACAGATGGTAACAATTTTTTGATAGAGACAGGTAAAGCCATATAAGAAACATTATTTTGTTGGTGCAATTTAGGACAATGATTCAATGATGCAATAACTTCATGTAAATTGGCACTCAGAGAAAACTCATTATTTCCTTTTTCAAGGTGTTCACAAATAACAACTTCTAATTTATCTTCACCATTAAATTCAAAAACTTCTTCAACCAATGAATCAATAATATCAACAGAATAAGCAGAGTTATCACCCCCAGGGTATTTCATAGCATCATAAATATTGAATGTAACAACATTACCATCAAATTCCATAGTAAGTGTACCACTGTGAATATCAATTTTTGTTTTTGCAGTTTTTAAAAATGGTCTTCCTAACAGAATAGGTGCAGAATGATCATTATTTTCCATATCTAGCACATAGAAATCAGTAGGGAAGATTAAATTATTAACTTGCAACAATACATCTTCAATCACACCCTTGGGGTATGCATTAGACCTATCAGCCAACTGGATAACTACACTAGTTTCATTCAAAGGTCCAAGTTTTAAAGAAGCATACACAGAATATGACATAACATTAATAGATGCTCCTAAGTCTAGCATGGCTTTCTCAAGTTTAGTATCGCCTATCATACAAGGAATAGTAAACATACCTGGATCCTTGCATTTTTCAGGAAGCTTGCTTTGAATCACAGCAGAAACATTCTTACCCATTAGCACTTTCTCACCTTTTTTTGACTTTTGGGTCCTTTTTGTTGTACACAACTCCTTTAAGAATTTAGCATATCTAGGAACTTGTTTTATTGCATCAAGTAATGGAATATTCACTTCACAATTTTTGAAAGTTTCATATAACTCTTCATCTTTCGTTCCTTTTATAGATTCTGACAAAGCTTGAGGGAATGGGGGAACTGGTTCATAATTCGAAAGATTGGGAGACTTACCTTGAGAATTTTCATTGTTGCTAGTTCCCTCTTTTTCTTGGTTCACTGATGGGGTAGCAATCGCAGGGCCTTCAATTTCCTTACCACTCCTCAACACAATTGCATTTCTCTTGGATTAACCACTGTTTGAGAGGGTAGTTTGCCAGAACTCTGTGCTTCCAACCGACTAACCGTAGTTGCTAGTTGGCCCATTTGTCTTTCCAAGTTTTGAATACTAGCATTTGTTTCTTGAATACTAGCTCTTGTCCCTTGTTGGAATAGTTGTGTTTCTTGTTGAAACTGCAAAGTGTTAGTAGCAAGAGATTTAACAATATCTTCTAGATTCATACTTGAGCAAGAGCCTTGGGTTGGTTGTTGTCTTGAAGGAAATGGTTGTCTATACTGCTGAAAATTAGAACGATTCTGAACAAACTGGTTCCCTTGTGAGTTCCCATAGCTAAGGTTTGGGTGATCCCTCCATCCAGGATTATATGTATTGGAAAATGGATCATACTTACCTTGAGGTTATCCAGGAAAACCTCCAACCATGTTAACTTGTTCAATAGGTTCTTCTTGAAGAGTTGGGCAGGCATCAGTTTGATGCCCAACTACCGAGCAAATTCCACATGCTTTTACAGTTTTCATATTGCCTACTGCTAATTGACGGACAAGAGTAGTTAAACCAGAAATTTGTTGTTCAAGAGCAGAAATATTTACCTCATTCACTTGCTTAGACGGTTGGACTATTCTATTGCCAAACTGTTGAGAATTTGCAGCCATATTCACAATTAGAGTTCTTGCAGCGTCTGGTGTCTTGTCAACTAAAGCACCACCGCTTGCGGCATCAATCATGCTTCTATCCATTGAAAAAAGTCCTTCATAAAAGTATTGAATGAGTAATTGATCACTAATTTGATGATGTGGGCAACTTGCACATAGTTTCTTGAAACGCTCCCAATATTCATACAGGGACTCTCCATTGTTTTGCCTTATACCACATATTTCCTTTCTAATGTTGGCCGCCCTTGAAGCTGGGAAATATTTTTCAAGGAACGCTGTCTTCAGGTTATTCCATGCGGTGATGCTCCCAGAAGGTAGATAGTATAGCCAATCCTTCGCTGAATCTTTCAACGAAAAGGGAAAGGCTCTCAACTTGATTTGTTCTTCAGTAACCCCTGTGGGTTTCATACTCGAACACACCACATGGAATTCCTTTAAGTGCTTGTGAGGATCTTCACCTGCAAGTCCATGAAAAGAAGGCAAAAGATGAATTAATCCAGATTTCAGTTCAAATTGTACACTAGCATCCAGAGCAGGAAAAGTAATGCATAAAGGTTGCTGATCCAAATTTGGAGCTCCAAGCTCTTTTAAAGTTCGATTTTGAGTCATGGGTTCCTCTTCTAAATCAGAATTGGCAGAATTGGTAGCCGGATTACTAAATTCCAATTTGCTCAAAGCTTGTTTCCTCCACCTGCGTATAGTTCTTTCAATTTTCGGATAGTACGGCAAGATTTTTATATTAGTAGATCGAGTTATAGGCATAAAAAAAGAAAAGAAAATATATTGCAGCATTTATGCAAAAGTAACGAAAGAGAAGATTTTTTTTTAAAATTCTGTTTTTTTTTGGGACAAATGAAAAAAAAATAAAGAAATAAAGAAATAAATAAACACAAAATAAACAAGAAAATCTCCCCGGCAACGGCGCCAAAATTTGGTGAGCTGTCGTAGGCTCCCAAATTAAAACCTTACAAACGTAGTAGCGGGAGTAAGGATCGATCCCACGAGGAGTAACTAGTTTAACGAAGGATCCCTGGACGAATTTGTGATGAATGAGTCAGTGGGGGGTAGGTGGGGGTGGGGGAACCCACCACCTACCCGCTGCCCAAAGAGGCGCTGCCCGGCAGCGGGCGGCCACCGGGCAGCCGGCTACCCGCTGCCCGAAACAGCGCCCACCGGCGGGCAGCCGGCGGGTGACCCCCACCCACCGGCTACCCACTGGTCTGCACCCCACCCCGGGTCCCCGGCTTCCCCGTTTGATGTTCCCCGTTCCCCATGGTGTCCCAACGGACACCGTTTGTCGTGCCTGAGTCTAGTCTGGAATTTCGGGTACCATTCGTAGGTTAAACGAGTCTTAGGAATTGCATGCTAGTTGAATTGGTAACCCGTGGACCTAGGTGGAAGTTATATGAGCCCTTAGGAACTATTCTTAGAATGTGAATGATCACATGTAAGCTTAATTATATGTTCCCCTTTCCCTATGTGAACAATGTGTCATTATGTGCTATTTTGTGTTACGTGATGCATGACCCCAACTTGGTTAAGACCAATTGGGCTATACAGGCAGTTGAATGGGCTGAGAACCATCCCAACTGTTAACTAGGCCGGTTAAGATCGGTTAGGGATATTGATATGATATAGGACTGAGGTCCACTATACGGGAAGTTGAATGGGTTGAGAACCATCCCAACTGTTAACCAGGCTGGTAGAGACCGGTCAGGTATATAAAGATTATGTATAGGACTGAAGGTCCACATGGGCCTCGGTGATATGACCCACCGACCGGGATGCGCCAGGCGGTATGGGGCCAACAAGCCGAGGAAGGTTGTAGTCCACCGACCTGAGTAATCAGGCGGTGTGTAGGGCTACGACTGGCTACGATCCACCGAGTGGTGGGACATCGGTATGCAGGACCGTAGTCTCCAAGGATCTTTGCCCACCGACAGAGTTTAGCTCAGCGGTGTGTCGGGCTTGATCCGCTACGGCCCGCCGATTGTGCGCACCAACGGTGTGTAGGGTCGTAAGTCCCCCCTTGTAAAGGGGATCACGGTCCACCGACTGGGCGCGTCAGCGGTGTGTCGGATCGTGGTCCGACGTTGAGTTCATCAGCGGTTCTTCAAGGTTTGGTTGCGATCAACTCCCCTCGTACTGCGGTACTGAGGTAGGGTGCTACGGGGCTATGTTAATGCTATAGGCATTAACCCTCATGTTCGGGGCATGCGATTGGTCCCGTGGCGCCATCGATGATTATGTGATATGAATGATGATTGGATGACGATGTGGATTGGAATTGAGAAGTGGCTTGTGACCGTAAATGCGTATTCCTTATGATGTTGTTATTATTGTCTGATATGCTTATCCCTATCTGTCGAGTCTATTCCGGTTTTGAAACTAGAGTTTCCTAGGATATCTCTTCCTGCTTCAAAATGATTTTTCCTATATCTATATCTATACATATACCTATATTGTATTTTTACGCGTTGGAGTGGGTTACTAGCATCTCTCGCTGAACAGATATATTTGGCTTTTAGGCACAGAGGAGTAGGTACTGGAGTGCGCTAGAGACTTGGAGCGTAGAGTAGATAGGTTCCCTTTCGGCCTGCGTGCCATGCTTATGTATTTACATTTTTGAGGATATTAGTTAGTTAGCCTGTGCACCTGAGTTCTCTAACTCAGGTGTGGCATAGCACCCCGTACTCTTTTATATTATGTTTTGGGATTTAATGAGAATCTACCTTTATTATATAAGTCTTAAAAATTTTGGGGTGTTACACTTAGTCCTATAAGAAATAGAATTAGTAAGCCCATACCATTCAAACCATAATAGATTCCACCACACTAGAATTCCCAAGAATTCCCCTATCACCAAACGTAAGAGAAATCAAGAAGAGGAGATCTTAGAGAAAGAACCTTTATAGCCAAGGATTCTAATTAAGGCTAAGAGATTCCAGTAGAGTTAGAACACAACGCCTATTGGCTATTAAATTCTTAAGTTTTGATTTGCAGCGGGCTGGTGGAATAAGAAAATTGAATTTAAATGAATTAGATGAAATAAGGAATGAGGCCTATGAAAACTAAAAAATCTATAAAGAAAGGACTAAAGCCTACAATGATAAATTTATATTGAGGAAAAATTTCGAATCTGGGATGAAAGTTTTGTTATTTAACTCTCGTTTGAGATTGTTTCCAGGTAAGTTAAAATTTAGGTGGATAGGTCCTTTTGTGGTACGTGAAGTATTTTCTCATGGTGCCTGCGAGATTGAAAATTCAGACACAGGTGAAAAATTAAGGTAAATGGGCAACGACTAAAACAGTACCTCGAGGGTGATCCCTCAGTCCAGAGTATTGATCAGATAGAGTTACAGGACTCTAAATGCCCATGTTGTCCAGCTACAGACAATAACTGAAGCGCTATTGTGAGGCAACCCAATTCTCTTTCCCTTTTCTCCTTTATTTTCATGTTATTTGTGTTTCTCTTATACTTTTTGTTTGTTCTCAACATTGCGGACAATGTTTGAAATAAGTGGGGGGGGGGGGGGGGGGGGGGGAGGGGGGGACTTTTATTTTGAAATAAGTGTGGGGAGGGGACTTTTATTTTGAAATATTTGTCAATCTCTTACAAAAAAAAAAAAATTATTTTACTTTTAAAAATAATAAGAACTTGAGCCTTTACCCAATAAGCCTTTTAACTAGCCTATGATGAAAATGATGCTTGTTTTTGTCAACTCTTAGTGTGTATATTGCATGTGTCTAGTTGTTAATTTCTTTTATTTTGAATAATTTTGCCAAAGAAAAAAAAAACAAAAAAAAAAAAAAAAAAAAAAAATATAGAATTTGAAAATCACAAATACCCTTATATGTTTTATGCATTTTTTAGTAGTTTATATGTTGGTTTCACTTTATATTACCTTTTTCAAATTCTTAAATAGTTCTTGAGTGCTATAAATTGTGGTGTAGTGTGTTGGTTCAAGGATCATCTTTGTGGCATAAGTGAGGTGAAAAGAAAAGATTATA